TACAAGCCTCGAGTATTAGATGCTCCGCATCTAAAACAATTACGAAGAGTGTAGCGTCACCAAGATTGTGGCGTGGTATTGAGGTTGCCACTATGCTGCGTATTTTGAGAGCATGCAATGCCTCACGACGCATTACACGGCATCTTAAGTACGTGATGAACTACATGACGAACGCTTATCTTGCTAGCAGTTGATATTTTAACGAGCGTTCAACACCACAGGCTTAGCAGGAACAAGGGCCTTTACCACATTGTTTCAGCCAGTGGCAGAGAAAGATATTATTGACATCTTGGTCCCAGTCCTAAGTCATGTATTCGACTGGTTCTAGTGTACTTACTAACAAGTAATAGCAGTAGTTCAATAAGGTGGCTGACATTTGGTGGAGTGTCAAGTTGAGAAAATAAATACCAAGTGCCCGGTCGAGCTTGCTTGCCCACCCTTCACGTAACCACTATAGGGTGGCTGCATCACAACAGGAGGCTTTCTGTTGCAGCCAAAGCTTTAGAGCTGTGTTGGCCATTACAGCTTATTGCTATTCAACCCATTAGAAAACAATCGATTATTCAGAAAGCGGTACCTGAATTACCGCATATACTCTCATAATGATCGCACTTTTTTTCTTTCAAAAAATTGACTCCAACTTTGGGATGCGATCATTACGCGGGGTAAATTTTCCGTGAAAAAATATTCTGAGCACCGGAAAACGCAAAAAAGTCGCTAATCAGAATTCTTACGGTAGCTATATCATGATCATAACCAAAAATAAAAGTGAATTAAGGCTTACCTTTGTAATAAAATGCACACATTACGCAGGAGCTACATGCACGGCACATTGCCCTTTTATTTTTTACCTCTCTGACCCCCTAACGTTCATTCAGACTCCAAAGCATCACTGGCGTCAGTGTCGTCGCCGCACGATTCTCTGTCGGAACTGGCAGTGTCTTCACTGTCCCACAGAGGGTCATCTTCCGTTCCGTCGAGCGCGTTGGAAATGCCAGCGACAGTCCATTCCGCCGCATGAAGCGTGTCGTCCAGCCAGAAGTGGCACGGAAGTCCTTTGTGGCTATTCCCAGCCTGCGGGAAACTGTGCACGTCTGCGTCCGTATCATATCTAATGGCACTGCATAACCGTCCTTGCGCACTTCACGTATTCGAGGACTCCCTCTTCAATGTCACGGAACTTGCCAGATTTCGGTTCGCCGAAAGCCCATCGCGTGCTGTTAGTAGCCATGATCATGTCGCGCTGTTTTTTTTCCAATATCAGATCCGGATTTCGTCGACGCCGTAATGTCTGCCGGTAGCGCGGTTGCCGTGCTCTAGCGCGTAGTCAAGCGCCTTCAGCTAGAACGCGGCAGTAAAGCTCGCATACCGCCCCATGGTGAAACGGCTCTTTAACAGACGATCACAAAGCACACACACACAAAAAAATGTGGTATCAGAAAAAAAAACAACAACATTGCAGCGGGACGAACACAGGCTGACCAACAGGCGGCTGCCGCTGTAACCGTGCGGGATGTCAAAACAAACATGGCGGCTGACGGAACGAAGCACTCCGTGGAGCGACGCCACCGCACTTTTCTTTCTTCTTTGCGTCAGTTATGGAGGTTGTGAGTACATCACGCACGTCAAAAGTTTCTTCCATCTAAATAAGGAATGTTTTCATTTAAATCAGTAAAGTTATGGCATTAGCATAGTGATGCCCGCTTTCAGATCACAGAAACCATGATAGGCGCGTTCAGCTAGACTTGGCACATGACATGTCGATGCGGCAAGTTCAGGGTGCGATCATTACGTGGGAAAAAAAAAAATGGATTTAGACGACAAAATTTAGGGGTGCGATCATTATGCGAGTGCGACCTTTACGCGAGTAAATACGCTGAAACAAGCTCGTGTAAATGCGGTGAAACGTAGGCTTTCTTTAAAATATGAAATGTTTTTACATATTGTAAAATCAACAAAACATGACATTGGTTAAAAAATTATATTCAATTCCTTGTGTACAAATGTGCCCAAGAACTAGTCTCTGCTGCCAGGGAACACGCGTTTGTAGCAGTGAATTTGGAGCATTGCTATCTTGCCACTCAATACACAAGTAGCCTGGCAGAGGTTGTCAAATAGAATGAGGAAATCAAATGACACAACTTGAATTTGTTTTCTGAGGGTTCATTTTATTCAAGAACATCAAACAACACAAGTCGCAAATGCACAGCAGTAAGTAGTATACAAAGATGATAAATTTGAAAAATTCACAGCTGTACAGATGGCTAATGCCACTCTACCTTGAAAGCACGAATGAGGAACATCAGTTTTTATGAGCAAGTAGGCATTAATCAAACACAAATTTATTCAGCGTGGAACACAAAAGCCCTGAACAGCTTCTTGGCTTAAGTTTACACTAAGCTTGCCCCAGCGACAAAATTTGGTGTTGGTGAATAAATCGACACTACATTATTTAGCTTCTACATTTGGCTGATGTAGAAAAAAAAAAACTCTCTGAAATAGTTCGCTCTCTTCTTCTGAAATTACATTCTGGCCTAGGCTACACACACAAAAACAAAAAATAAGCAAGTTTTCCGCATAGACAAATGTTTAGAGCAGCTGTTACATAACTTCTTGAAGTTCTACACCCCATTTAGGAGAGAGCAAAGCTACAGCTATGCGGGCTGTGTGGGCAAAGACACTATACGCGTACTGTCTCAGAATGCAATATACCAAAAATTCTGTACACAGTCGTAATTGTGCGCCAAAAATTATGGATTGTGCGTCGCTGAGACTGGCAAGTCGTCTATTCACACAAAGAACAAAAGTGCCATTGATGGCTTTCTAATTGTGGAGCAGACATAGACACAATCACTAGCCTGAAAATCTTCAAACTCAGAACAGTGCAACACGTGTACATGTCTACACCTAAACAGGTGTTCACAAAATCAATGCAATACGCACTTTTTGAAAACAATGCATTCGAGGCAGCGTCTTCTTCGGTAATGTGAAGAGATTGTGTGGACACGTTTATGCGTTTACCTTAAATATGTTCTAAAACAGCTGCCTATTACTGCTCTGCAAGCATTCATGCAAGCCATCATCAAAATCATAAAAAAAAAATGTCCATGATTGTATAACACAGAATGAGGTATATAGAACGTCGCTGTTCAGGACAAAAACACTTCAAGAACTTTGAATACTGGTCGTTTCACTCTTATAAAAATGTTCAGTTGGTTTTAGTGTAGGCATAGCCAGGAGTGACGACGACAATCGTCCTACAATAGCAAACTTTGTGCACTACAAGCAAGAGGCCCCAAAGAAGTACAATAAGTATTGGCTGATGCTCACAATTTTAATAAGCAAAAAAGAATTATTTTCTGTTAATACAAGACAGTGATTGCATTGGGTATAACTAACAAATGTGCAACTTTTACGCCATGAACGTAATGTGCAGCGAAATGCATGCTTCATGTACTATATACATCTAAAGCATAAAGTTAAGTATGGCAACAACCACAGCGCACGATCAGCAGAATGACCTGATAAGCTCAACTCCACCCTGATATGTGGGGTCTAAGGCCCCAAAACCACCATATGATTATGAGAGACCCCGTAGTGGAGGGCTCCGGTAATTTCGACCACCTGGGGTTCCTTAACGTGCACACAAATCTGAGCACACAGGCCTACAGCATTTTCGCCTCCATCGAAACTGCAGCCGCCGCAGCCGAGATTCGATCCCCGTGAACTAAGAGTCCAGCAGCCGAGTGTCTTAGCCACTAGACTACTGTGGCGGGGCAATCTCAACTACACCCAAACACACTAAAGAAAAAAGAAAAAAATTAAAAAAGAGAGAGAAAACATTTAGGAAAAAAAAAAATGCATCTATACTACAGCACTCTATAAATGCAAGTTTGAGTTTATACACTCCAAAATTATGTACATTACGTTTGATGCACGTCATAGTTTCGTCAAACAGCATCCATGTTAGGTAGTTTTGGCACATATATTAACAAATGTTTTCCTTTTATTTCAGAGTTCTGGTGATGACTACACTAACAGGCTATTTTGCTTGCAACTACATTTAACAACACCGTCAACAGCAACGCACGTACATGGACACGCGTGTACGGTATGTTAGAATATAGTTCACACACTAGTACATACTACCATAATGCCATTTGTTAGAAAAAAAGAAAACCGCGCGACAAGTTGCAGGGCTGGACAAAATCATAAGCAGCTGAAGCCTACTTCACTTCGCTGCCGATGTCGACTGGAAAAAGAGAAAGGAATAGAAGACATGTGAGGATAATGTACATGGTCACAATTGTGTACGAAGCGTGATAGTGGAAGAAAAGAGGGCCACACGACAATTGCTGTCTAACCGCGTACGGCACTGCTATTTTTCAGATTTTATCGGCTTGCCTTGTGCGACTTTTTACAAAGCAAAGTCGCATCATGCAACCAAAGAAACAGCCGACAGACTACTAGAGAAGATTGCTTCCAGGAATGTGTCTGATATCGGTGAAAGTGACGATGAAGACGACATTCCACAGGAAGATGTTCCGCAGGAAAATTGTGAAACGCAGAGTTCCAATAAAGGCAAAGACGGGGGCGACAGGTCTCCATTGAAAAAAAAATACGTGTTGAAGACAACGTACCGAAGAACTTTCAGTGGAAAAAGAAAGTTTACGCACCCCCATCAGACATCGACTTCAGCGGTCACAACGAGTGCCCACCGGAGGCGGATGAAACTTGTACGCCATACACGTACTTTTCAGGGTACGTGCCCGAGTCCATTTTCAGAGTAATAGCAGAAAACATGAATCAATATAGTGTGAAAACAACTCTGCATAATGTGAATACCACAGCGACTGAAATGAGACAGCTGTTCGGTATGCATATCCTGATGGGCGTCGTTCACTTACCTCGGGTAAGGCTGTATTGGAACCCAATGAAGAAGGTTCCTCTCATCAGCGAAACTATGATGGAGAAGCGCTTTTTCAAGCTTCAAAATAATCTTTGAACATTGTTCCAGAAGATTCTGGATTTGACAGTGGAGATCGCCTGTGGAAAGTGGGTCCATTTCTGGAGCTCATACGAAAGCGATGCTTGGAGCAGGCTCTTGAACAGGAATGCTCAGTCGACGAGCAAATGATCCCTTTTAAAGGCCAGCTTTCCATAAAGCAGTATGTGAAAGGCAAGCCATCTCCCTGGGGCATAAAAGTGGTTGCTCTGTGTGGTAGCAGTGGTTTACTCCACGACTTTGCAATATACCAGGGGGAAAACACGATTCCCGTCGACCTGAAGAAAGAATACGGTCTTTATTCTGGTGTTGTCTTGCATCTATCTAAAAGAATTTCTTATGGATGCAATTACCAACTTTACTTTGATAACTACTTTACATCAGTGCCTCTCCTTCGCCAGCTACGAGAGCACAGAATTTTGGCAGCTGGAACTGTGCGAAAAAACAGGCTGGGAAAGTGCCCTCTTGAATCCAAAAAGGTGATCAACAAAAAGCCGCGGGGATACTCTGCTGAATATGTCACAAGTGATGATGTTGTAGTGATCTGGAAAGGCAACAATGATGTGTCGGTCGCGTCCAACTTTGTTGGCATTGGTAATGAAGAGGATGTCCGGAGGTGGGACAAAACTAAGCGTGAACACATATTAGTGAAGCAGCCGGAGGTGATCGCCAAGTACAATCAAAGTATGGGAGGCGTGGACAAGATGGACTTTCTCTTGAGCTTGTACCGCACCAAGATCAGGTCAAAGAAATGGACGCTGAGGGCGATATTCCATTTTGTAGACCTAGCTGTCTGTAATACTTGAATGGAGTATTTGCGTGAGAATGCATACACACGGCGATCAAAGCTGCTTGATCTTCTGCACTTCCGTCTGCAAATCGCTGAGGCTCTCATTAGCAGCGTACCAAACACAAGAAAGCGTGGAAGGCCTTCCTACGAAGTCGAACCGGCGAATGTTCCTGAGGAGAGGAAAGCCCGCATCCGACGGCCTTGCTCGGATGCACGCTACGATGGAACGGATCATTGGCCAGAAGTTCGGGACCAAACGCTTCCTTCTAGATGAAAGTATGAAGGTTGCAAAGGAAGATCAAAAGTTTTTTGCAAGAAATGTGAAGTGCCGCTCTGCATGACCAAGGATCGTAACTGCTACTACAAATTTCACACTTGAAAGACTTTTTCCTGTTTCTTGAACTCTATGACGCTATGTACACAATTGTGTACATGACCAAGGATTATAACTGCTACTACAAATTTCACACTTGACTTTTTCCTGTTTCTTGAACTCTATGACGCTATGTACACAATTGTGTACATGACTGTAAAAAATAAACTGCGCTGGTACTTTTTTCGGAAGCCTGTCAGTTCATCTTATTTGGTCAATTATAGAGAGTTGAAACACAAAAAAATTTTTTTAGATGGAAATAGGGAGTGGCGTCTGCAAGGGTTATACACTCCAAAATTATGTACATTACGTTTGATGCACGTCAGTTTCGTCAAACAGCATCCATGTTAGGTAGTTTTGGCACATTTATTAACAAATGTTTTTCTTTTATTTGAGAGTTCTGGTGATGACTACACTAACAGGCTATTTTGCTTGCAACTTAATTTACAACACCGTCAACAGCAACGCACGTACATGGACACGCGTGTACGGTATGTTAGTATATAGTTCACAAACTAGTACATACCACCATAATGCAACTTACTAGAAAAAAAGAAAACCGCACGACAAGTTGCAGGGCTGGACAAAATCATAAGCAGCTGAAGCCTACTTTAGAAGGGCGTTTCAGGGTGAGGTTGGTTTCACACGACGCCACGAAAAGAAAAGAAAGCCCAGTGGTGCCTAAGCAAGGAAGGCCTCTCGCTGCGCAGATCTTCTGAAGGGTATGGCGAACACTTCAAAAGAAAAAGACCTTAGTGGGTGAAGTTTGGTGAGTGGAAAAAAAAGAATTAGCTACACTGACATATGTAAGGGGAAGTAAGGGAAAGAACCCTTTATAATATGATTCCCACATTCATAAAAACAAGACACAGGAGTTAAATTTCATTCTTGACTTTTAATTTATTCATTGGTGCACCCAATGCTATAAAGGCTGAAAAAGCTCTCTTAATGCTCATATCTGCAACCAAAAAGCATAATGCATAGAATCTAGGAGAAAGACACTGCTATTTGTTCTGTCATTTAGCGTTATATTCCTAGGTCATGCATTTCACAACAAAGTATGATTAACTAGTATAACAATAGGATTTTGAACTTGTTTACCAGCAAATGAGTCGGGCTACAAAGCTTAGTGACAGGCCGCTAAGGTGTTTGTGACCCCAAACATTGCATGCCGCATACTGCAAGTGCAAGTAACATGTGATACGATGTAGACTTATGCTCACATGCTGCAACAGTAATTTCCACTCCAAAACGGCATTAACTGAGCTCCCAGCTCTTCTGCATTTATCATTTCCATGTTGGAACCGGCATTTTCTTGAGCCAATACATTTGTGACAGCAGTAGAGCCTGAAAGGTAGTTTTGCCACAGTACAAAAGAGTAATGACGAGAAGCATATAGATAAATCTGAAGGGGCTACTTCCAAGCGCATGTCGACTGTATTTGAAAAGTTACACCATAGCGGAGCTTGAAAGGCAGCTTTGCCGAAACATGGGACCGTCGCGAAATCATCATCATCATCATCAGCCTGACTACGTCCACTGCAGGACAAAGGCGTCTCCCATGTTCCGCCAGTTAACTCGATCCTGTGCTTTCTGTTGCCAATTTATACCCGCTAACTTCTTAAGCTCATCTGACCACCTCACCTTCTGTCTTCTCCTAACCCACTTGCCTTCTCTGGGAATACAGCTAGTTACCCTTATTGACCAGCGGTTATCCTGTATTTTTGAGTGTTCTCTAGATGGACGCACGGACGGACGTATGGCCGGACAGACTGACAGACTAGCAGACAGACGAACAGGTAGACGGACGCGTAAGGCGGCTATGTGCCACAGGGTATGCAAGATGGCGACACTTTGAGTGTTCTCTAGATGGACACACGGACGGACAGAAATACAGACAGACTAGCAGACGGACGGACGCGTAGACGGATGCGTAAAGCGGCTATGTGCCACGGTATGCGAGATGGCGGTTCTTGTAGTGTTCTCTAGAAGGAACCACGGACGGACGCATGGACGGACAGACAGACAAACTAGAAGGCGGACGGACAGGAAGATGGACGCGTTAAGCTGCTATGTGTTACAGGTGTAACAAGGTATGCGAGATGGTGGTACTTGGAGTGTTCACTAGATAGACGCATGGATGCACGCATGGACAGACAGACTAGCAGACGGACAGGTAGACGGACGCGTAAAGCGGCTATTTGACACAGGGTATGAGAGAGATGGTACTTGGAGTGTTCACTAGATGGACGCACGGACGGACGGACAGACAGACTAGCAGACGGACGGACAGGTAGACGGACGCGTAAAGCTACTATGTGCCACAGGGTATGCGAGATGGCGGTATTTTGAGTGTTCTCTAGGTGGACGCATGGACGGATGCATGGACAGACAGTCAGACAGACTAGGCTACATGCCCGGCCAATGTCCATTTTCTCTTCTTGATTTCTACTATGATATCCTTAACCCCCATTTGTTTTCTAATCCACTCTGCTCTTTTCTTGTCTCTTAAGGTTACACCTACCATTTTTCTTTCCATTGCTCGCTGTGTCATCCTCAATTTAGGCTGAACCCTCTTTGTAAGCCTCCAGGTTTCTGCTCCGTAGCTATGTACCGGCAAGATACAGCTGTTATATACCTTCCCCTTGAGGGATAGTGGCAATCTACCTGTCGTAATTTGAGAGTGCTTGCCAATTGTGCTCCACTCCATTCTTATTCTTCTAATTACTTCAATCTCGTGGTTCGGCTCCGCGGTTATTACCTGCCCTAAGTAGACATAGTCTTTTACAACTTGAAGTGGACTATTACCTATCTCGAAGCGCGGCTCTCTTCCGAGGTTGTTGTACATTACTTTCGTTTTCTGCAGATTAATTTCAAGACACACCTTTCTGCTCTCCTTGTCTAACTTTGTAATCATTAGTTGCAATTTGTCCCCTGAGTTACTCAGCAATGCAATGTCATTGGCGAAGCGCAGGTTACAAAGGTACTCTCCATTTACTCCTATCCCTAACTCTTCCCATTTTAGGCCCCTGAAAACCTCCTGTAAGCATGCGATAAATAGCACTGGGGAGATTGCATCCCCGTGCTTTACACCCTTCTTGATTGATATTCTGTTGCTTTCTTTATGAAGCACAATGTTAGCAGTTGATCCCCTGTAGATTTCTTCCAGGATGTTTATATATGATTTATTGACGCCCTGGTTCCGCAGTGTCTGCATGACTGCTGATATTTCTACTGAATCAAATGCCTTCTCGTAATCTATGAAGGCTATGTATAGTGGTTGGCTATATTCTGAGCATTTCTCTATTACCTGATAGTATGAATGTGGTCGATTGTTGAGTAGCCTGTTCGAAATCCTGCTTGTTCTGTTGGTTGATGGAATTCTAACGTTTTCTTACCTTTGTAAATAGCTTGTATACTACGGGGAGCAAGCTGATTGGCCTGTAATTCTTCAAGTCCTTGTCATCTCTTTTCTTATGTATTAAGACGAAGTGATGACTTTTAAATATCTGAAGGGGTCTCTTTTAATAGGACGTTGACAGTTCTCTTTGGGAAGTTCGAATAGTGAAATTCCAGTGCAAATTGAGTCAAATATAAAACACTGCTAGAAAAATTTTCAAAATTTAGAATATTTGCACACTCCTAACTGTAACCATTAGTTTGTTTAAAGGAAGACGCTCCTCGAAAAAGTTTTTTTTTTATTTTTAGTAATAGAGACGTGAAAAGTTTGTTATTAGTATAGTTTTTCATGCAGATTTCAAATATGCAATCATTTTTTGTGTAGCTGCTATAATTATTGAGTTATGCCATAAACAATAGCAAAAAGTTACATTTTTTGCGGGCACTCTTTTATGTACTAAACTTTCAGTAAAAGCACTGTGTCTGATCTTATTTGACTCTTGGTAGATTGAAAAGTGCAAATATCTATATATATATGTCACAGAAATATTGGAACCAAGAAAAAAAAAATTGTATTGAATGACTTATTATTTTAAATCTCCCTTGAAACAATGAGCTAATATTTTTACAACTAATGCTGGTAGGCATTGCAATTTAGGGTAGATATTTAAATTCTGCATGTGTTGAAGAATATGTGTGCCAAGTTTCGTTACTATACAATGAATATAAGTTTCTAAAAGGCTGCCCGGAAAACGTGAAACTGTCAGAAAAAATGAAAATGAGAAAAACAAGTTTGAAAGTTCACAAAGTTGGCATTTATTAGGAAATCATTCTTTTTGCATCAAATTGGGGCAAATGAAAAGTACCTTGCCTTGAATGCACTGCAAGTGTCTAGAAGTCCCCTGCACCATAGCTTGGTCCTTCACGGCTCTTGCGGTCAGTGTCCTCAACACGAGCTCTCTTCGCTGTGTTGCGACGGTGTGCCCTCGCTTCTGCAGTTTGCTTCAGGTTCATCTTCCTGATGCGCATGACGTCACAGTGGTCACCATGTGTGGCCAGATCTTGAGAGGGGAGAATTCCAATGCCTTCGAGCACTTCTTCAAAGCCCCTGTGGCCTTTGTTGTACCAGAGTACAGCAAGAGCGGTGGCTGTCTCCACAGTTGTTCTGGAGGCGAACTTTGTTTTTGGACATAGCAGCCATATCTTGCTGTTCAGCGATTCGGCTGCATTCTGTGTCTTGCCATGAAGGCACCGAATAAGGAGTTTCTCCTCTGTAAGGCGCTTGTAGATAGGCATAATTGCCAATCCTTGAGCCTTCGTCAACAGTGGGGTGTGGCGTGGTGCAAGCTCCCCCAGTGCTTCCTCCGCACGCTTGTGCTTGCACCACGAATTTGGTCCCGCGGGGCAAAAGTTGTGGCTACTGGCACCATCACTGGAGCAGCAATGAAAATACGATGCCCATATGGCAGTGTACATATTTCAGACACTGTCCTTGTTGCTCGTGATGGCGATCTTGTAATATGTTTGTAGTTTTATTATTGTCGCATCTTTCAGTTTTTCGCCTCGTGGCAGTGGCGTTGCCAATTTCCGTAGGGCAGTTCCGAAGCGCTTTGCAACGTGGTTCGTGCACTCTTCTTTGTCAATGGGGGTGTCACAGTATACATTTGCCTCGCAGACTGCAGTGTAGGCCTTGCTGTCACCATCACTTAGGAAGCTGGTGAATCGCAGTGGAGTTTCATAAGACAAGGTCCTCTGCCATATATTGACAGCTGCCGCAGGTTCCATTGCATGGGATGAGCAGTCAGTGTTTTTTTGGCAAACTGGAAGATGAAAAGCTCGCCATATCTCTTCATCCTCCACAAGGTCCCTGTGTATACTGCAAGCATGGCAGTAGTTCGAAAGAACTTCAAGATCGAGGCAGAGCCCCGTGTCCAGGGACACGACTGTGCCCACTCCATTGTGGCTTTTATGACCTCTTTTCTGCCAGGTGCCATCAAACATGACTGGCACATCTCTGCCGCCGACTGCGTCCTTCGTGATGTTTCGTGCCTGGTGCAAGTTTTTGCTCACTGCCGTCATCCCCGCACCATGGAGCTTCTTGCAAATGCCGTTGAATGTCTTGTGATGCATCGGGCTCGGAAGACCGAGAATCGCACAAAATCGTGAAAGTTGGTCGTGGCCTGCGCCTATAGCGCGTGCTGCCAGAACTGCCTTCACGTTTACAGCAAAGCTGTCACGCGAGCTGCCGCTGTCAAAACGAGCGCTCGTTCCTTGGTCCCCGGCCAAAGCAGTACGTCTCGACGTGTGCGTGAACGAAAGTGCAGATTCAGGGCAATCAGAATTTTTACAGTACAGTTCGAGGAATGCCGAAAGTCCTTTGCGCTTTCCAGCTGCCTCTCGCACGCCGAGCTTCCGTTCGCGGCAGGTTGGGCATTGCGCACCCGCCACAAGTGCCGTCAGCGCATCGATTTCGCAAAGCAGCATGTTCGCAGTAGCAGCATCTACCGGTCTACGTTCACTCTCGAAGAATCCAATCTTCCTTTGGGATGCACTGACGAATTCCACGGCAGCGGCTATTTCACAACCACTGTCGCAGGGTTCGGTGACGGTGTTCGGCCTATTCGAAGTTGGAGCGTCGGGGCGTTGGTCGGGGGCGACATCGTCGCTCGCTGTCACTTTGCGAAGCGTCCGATGCCGTTTCCCTCGATACTTGTGGCGGGTTCTGAACTTTCGATTATCTGAACTGCACTTCTTCGGGCTTGCCATGACGCAAAAATGCAGAGAAACGCAGAAAAACTCGATCGCGACGTCCGAGGCTTCGCTCTTTTGCCGGAGAGATAGGAGGGGGAGGAGCGTGGAGCGCACCGCCGTCCAATGGCGGCCTCGCGCTGTGTGCCGCGATATTCAAAACGCATGACGTACGCGTTGTTTTTCTCGTTTTTTGTTTATTCTGCGTGAAGGCACGAGACTGGATACTAGTGGATTATGAAGGATACGGCCTTCGCAGCATGCGTGCACGATTGCAAATGGCGGCCAACGCGTCGTTTTCGCGACAGGACGACGCGAACTTTGCCGTTTTTCGCGACTTTTGCGCATTTCTCGCGTCACCGCTGCCCACTTGGAAGCATTTTTTGATAATTTCTCGTGCGAATTTCAGCTTGATATTTTCAGAAGTAATAGATTATAGTCCAAGGATGCCAATACAGCCGGAAAAAAAAAAAGCGAAAATTTTCCGGAAAACCGCGACTTTTCGACCCGCGTCTCCCCTTAAAATAGGCACCTATTAATGAGGTTTGACTGTGGTCAACACAATCTTGCTATGTGGCTTTTGATTGATAACATTCAAACCAAGTCAACGTTCATGTCGTGAGGTGCTCTGTTCCGTGTTCAGCTGTGCTGCACACATTTAAAAATTAATTATATGTTGTAGACTATATTGTGCACCGATATTCTGCGGATTTGTCCACACAAATGTATCACATAAGTTGCAGTAGACTCTCAGTGAACGAAACTTTCTTCGCTGTTCAAATAGAACAAACACCTCTGATACGATTCGTTTTGCACTGGAATTCTGCACCTCTCTCTATCTCTCAGTAAAGGAAACTGCTGTTAAATGAAACACATTTTCATAGTACCTTCAGTGCTCCTTTTAACAGACTGTCAAGCTAACTGCTTTTACCTTATACAAGGCGATGGCAGTGGTACATCGACAGGTATAAAAGGAGTTACAAAAGTGAGAGTATGAATAATACGCGAGCATTAAGCAAGAGCTGTGTAGCAAAAAAACCAGCCAAATACCGAGGTGATGCCCGTGTGGTTGGCAAGCATAAGGCCGCTGACTCTGTGCTGTGTCTGGACGTACGGTGACTTGCGGGACAGCGCCACCTGGATGCTGGCAGGGCCCCAGGGAATGAACTGCACCAGCTTGCGCTCACGGATCTTTTGTAGACTCTTGTGTACCTGCATGGACGTCCTGCCACGCTCAGTACATACCGTAGCAGCAAGGCACACTTACAGTTAGTGAACCATATAATGAAGTCAGCGACATCGGCAATTCGGTGTGCTACAAGAAATTCTACCTTTCCTTCAAAGTACAGTAATAAAACATTTGAGTCGCGCATTTTTCTTTTCTTTTTTACACGAGAAATGCATACCTACCAAGTTTGAGGATTGGGATCGAGGCGATTTCTGCAACAAGAGGGGGGGTTGCAAAATTTATTCCCCTCCCCCTTTTTTGCACCAAAATGAATAAGTATCACGCAAAAACGAGGGGGAGGGGTCTATAAACTTTGGCGTTGCTGTCTTATAATGGCTTGGAGTGGCTGAACACAACAAGGTAGGGTTTTGCAACTACAGTAGAAGGTGCGAGTCTGAAAAAGGGTGCTTGAATATTTGTATCTCCCAAAATTTTGCGTCATCAAATCAATTAGCAGAATTTATTTCTGTCTTCTGGAATACAAGTGAATGAACAGAATGGCGTAGCCGGCTGCGGCAAAAGCACGGGTTGAAGCTTCACTTGAGCCCAACTGAAAACTGAACTTTGGACAGGAATGCCAACATGCTTCAGCCTTTTTTTACATCTTTACTGTTTTTAGTCTACTGCTGCATTAGTCGTGTGCCCTCAGCCAGTAGTCGCTATAGATGATCGCATTGCCGCGGCCATGGTATCACACGTGGCGTTTGCGGAAAACAGGAGTTCTGTTTTCAATCTGCATGCGCTAGCTGTGAGCGTGCCTTCAAAATCAAGGCATTTTTTGCTGTCTATGGTCGCATCTGCTGTGGTCTATGGTTCCATCTGCTTTCCACAGCGTTTGTGGAAAGCAACATCGCTTTGACTGGTCAGGTATTGGACGCGCACGCACTTTAAGAGTTCTGTGAGTTAGGTTGTCATCATACATTATCGTGCCAAGAGCGACGGTGGTTTCATCTACAGTAGTTGTGACAGGCAATAACCACAGTTCAGGCAGAGCGTCGGTTGGCCGCGCACGTCCTTCTGAAACTTCGAATATGCTGCTCTTGACCTTCGTTCGACGGTTTCGGTACTAAAATTCATACAACCTGCCGTGATGAGGAAAAGTGTAACATTTGAATTTCGGCCCAACGGACAGAGTGAAATTTTGCAGGGGAATTTCACGAATTCGTATCAGCCAGTTTTGCATCACTGAGATTCTACTGTATGTTTATATGAAGGTCTTTTAAGTTCGTGTACAATCAAATTCGTTGGGTTCGCAAAAAGCCTGGATCAGATTGGACTGCATGTTTTTCAATGTGGCCGGATCACGCCCGGAAATTTCGATTTCAGGGGAGATTCCTGATAACTGTACAAACATAAGAGCTGGTCGACATCCAGGAGTCTCCCGGATTTTGGCAGGTATTGAAATGTTGTAATTGGCCAACAAAAAAGTGAACCTCACTCAGATTCACTCAAGATATATACTTTACCCTCAAGTGTCGCTCGGATTCAGACCTGCAAAAACTTTTTGCTGCCAGACTCACTCACAGCGAGACTCAGGCTCAGTAAGAGAAGAAGGAAACTTGCCACTTTCGGTGCAACAGCTGTTGCCTTTCATAAGTTTTCTTGCCGGGACACTGGTTATAGAATGAGGCTTTTCTAGTTCATCATATGTTCATTCTCCTTAAAGTTTTTCAAGCAAACTGAGCAAAGGTAACAATATGTACTTGTGCACATGTGGACACAGGTGGACTGGTTGGTTGCTCATGTTTCGGAAGTGACTCAGGCTATGAGAGATGCCTAGTGGTGGGCTCCAGATAATTTTGAACACCTGAGGTCCTTCGACAAGCACTGACACAGCACAGTACATGGGCCTCTGGCATTTCACCTTCATCAAAATGTGATTGTCGCATTAACTGTCCTTTCTCTTGCGCCATGGACTCACCTGTGTTGGATCCACCTCGCCCTGGATGATGTTGAGGATGCTGATGTAGCAATGGCTGGCCGTACGGTCATGACCGATAGATACCATCATGTTTTTCGGCTGCAGCAGCCGCCTCATCACATCGAGCACAGTTGTCTTGCGTACACTGGGCGCCTGCACAAGGTGCAGTAAACCGAATGTTAACTGTTAACAAGAAGACACTGACAAAACATCACCATGTTTTGACTTCTGAATGAAACATTTCAACTGCTCGAGTTATTCAATCAAACAAGCTTTCATATGTTCTCAACTAGGGGCTATACAGCTAGCTTTTCAGTGCGAAATCGGAAAAAAAAAAAAGAAAAATGGAGTTGAGAGTCACCCAATAGCGTTAGACTTGAATGAATAAAAAGAATCTTGAGGGCCAGTTTTTCTTTTTATTTTTTAGATGCAACCTTAATGAAAACCAGTATCTAATAAAAGGAAGGCATGGGGTTGGGAGGTACTACTACTATAGAGTTGGTACGGCCAGTTATATCTTTGTGAAACACAGCTGGAACAGTGTGGGGCACTGTAAATTGCTCTGTTCAAGGTAGAGGCTATGGTGCAGTGTACTCTGAGCAGCGAAGCTTGTAACTAGCCACAGTTTCAGTGCTGACAAAACATACCTAAGCATAGTACCAACACAGAGAGGAAATCATAGGAACCAATTGGAAAAAGCGAGACAGTCACGCTTGCTCTTTTGGTGTAGAGATTTAAGGAATCGTGAGCAATCTGACAGCCTGAACACAAGCAACCCACTTTGTGCAACGGCTGCATCTAAGAAACAACAACTGTGAAATGGAGTGTGGCCCTTGCAAGAGGACACGTGGTAATCTTAAGTTAGATATTTGCGAAGAAAGTTAGATTCATTATAATGAGACCAGTTGGGCTTGCGAAATTCTGCAGGCCCGCTGCAAGCTTTCTGTTAACCCCGTGCACCATGTAGGTGCCATCAACATATTACACTTAGCAGCGACTCTAATGGTATGCATAAGTGATGCGAGTAGGGGCAAAAAACAACGTATGCAGACAACAGGTCATTAGCTGTGGCCTTTTCATTTTGAGCTTACTTAAGTGTAGTGAGGTATCGAGTACTCTCAAATGCAGTGATACTACCACCATGATGAATCTGGGCCAAATTATAACTCATGGGGAGTCATATGTGCTTCGCAACATCCGCCTTTCAGTAAACCTTGGGCGGCTCCAATGACGTTCTACATTTCATTCTGAACATGTAGATTCTGTTGTAAAGAACCACATGCAAATGACAACCATGCACAAAAAAATTATCTGTAAATAAACAACCACATTTCTATTGCACTAATGATTTACTTTTTGTACTCCTGTCTGAATGGCCAGTTAGTGCTCCCTTTACATGAAATGGAAGCTAAGCACGCATGGAGGCTGCATCTAATGTGCAAAACTAAACTTTTTACAAGGTCAAAAGTTTCGCTGCAGAAAGCTGTAGCAACATGCGATGCTGCTGGAAATGCAAACACAACAAGCATGTTGAGACAAAAGGCACTTCGTCTACAGACAATGGTGAGCGGCGCACTTTCACCTCATGGTCAGTCGTGAGAGGCGTATAACCCGTCATCAGGAAGTGAAGCTTCGGCGTTGGAATCAGGGGTGCCACGAGACCGATTAGGTTGTTGTTCATGTAGCTGGGATACCGCAGGGTGGCCGTGCTGACAGACATGATTGTCGACACCTGCAGCCAAAGCGATAAGCAGAGAAGAGTATCTCCTTTGAACTAACTGAACAAGGACAACCAGCTGCAAAAACCTCACATTAAGAAAGGTTCCCCTCCACTTTTCAGCAAACTTCCCCTACCCCGCCCCAATAGAACATTGAAAACATAGAGGGGTCAAGAAGCATAACTATGTGTATATGAAACTGCCAAATCATATTTTAGCTCCCATGTTAAGACGCATCATTTCCAAATTGGTTCTCACAGAACTCTATTTTCATTCCTTAGACCTAGCAGGCAATATATATAAAATAAAACTGGTTCATGCAACTTACTGCTGAAATTTATAGTGTTTTGAAGCATGATAATTTTAGGAATGTTCGAAGACACTTATGCATACATGCACATTGCAGATGCCTGTAGATGTAGTTTTTCAACAAGACATGTCTGCTAATACTGAGATTTCAGATTTTTGCACGAGTAGGTTTTCTGAAGATACAAATAAAGTAGAGCTGCGTGAATAGCAATATTTTGGGTGCAAAGGGAATATGAATAAATAAGTGCGAGTGCAAATCGAATAGAATATTTTTTTGAGAATTTCTGCCAAAAATATTTTCTGCTTACATACTTCGAAACGAAATTGCAGAAAAAAAAAAGTTGGAGAAGATTCTTAGGCATATCCTCAATTGACAGCAACATGAAAGTGCTTTTTTACTAGGTTGAAGAAGCGCTGGCAAGGTGGTATTTCAGTCTTATAAATAATGAGACGATGCAGAGGCCGAATTGTACTTATCTACACGATTTCGAGCAACGAAAGTGCTGTTGACAACACTTTGCATGTGAAAGGCAAAGAGACTGTTTCCTCAGCTTCTCCTCCTCTCTCAACTTCTGCGGAAGCCTAACTGATGTGACATACAAGGTTATGCTCCCTTTGAGTGAGAAGTTCCAAGTCTACCTCGTAGACGTCAATATACAAGAACATTTGAAACGTTGGATGCTAAAAATCTTTGGCATCCAATGTTTCGGACTTCCTGCCAAAGTTTCAGGTCCAAAACAGAATTCATTGAGGCCCGCCTTTGCCACATCTGTCATCTCCATGCTGAAACAAGTATTTTCTTTAGTCAATACTTTTGCAACCGTAGCAGCGTCTTAAAGAGCAGCTTTGCTGCAGTAAGCGTATGTGACAAGGTGAACTATACCTGAAGATCTGAAGGGATCACTTTTAATTGGACGTTAACTGCATTTGCCTTTGGATAGTTCAAATAGTGAAAATACCAGTGTGAGCTGAACCCTATAGCAAACACTATTGAAAAATATTCGAAATTTCAAATATTCACACACTTCTTAAAAAAATTGGTCCTAGTAATACCGCAGAAATTACCGAGAAGTTCAACATCTGCCCATGGCTTGGAAGGCAAGAAAAAACAGGATGTTTTTGTAGTTATGCCCAACAAGTGACACAGCTTAGCTAGAGCAAATGTGAGATGTACATTTTCCCACTACACTTGAGGTACAGCGCATATTCACACAAATTAAAAAAAATCACGAGTAAATGATGCTTTTGAATCGCTAACATGATCTCATCCAAAGCTTTCACACACATTCAGAGGTGGAAACTTATGACAAATGATCGAGGAGAATGCATTGCTAAGATGCTGAAAGCTTTATGGAACAATTCTTGCAGTAACTAAATATTCCACGCTTTAATCTATGAGACATGGTTGTGATTGTGTCCATGTAAATATACCATACCGTATTTACTCGCATAATTTGTGCATTTTTTTCGCGATTTTGAGGCCCCGAGAAGGGGGAGCGCAAACGAGCGCATACAAAATATTGTGTCACAGTCCTAACACGTGCAGTATATATATTTAAAAAAAAAAGAAGAAATAAATTCAAGCACAAACATAGTGCACTTGTTAATTTTGAAAGAATTAGCACATACTTTAACCAGTCAGAAATGGTCACGAGTGGTCTAGCGGAAACTGATCGCGAACTTTGACCGCGAATCATCCTCGCGCCAAAGTTAATTTTGGGATGACAATGAGAGTCCACTAAATATTGTAAACTACAACAGATAGCTCGAAACAGATTTTAGTTATATCAGCACAGCAAATACTATCTGCATGCCAAATTTATCACTTTATCTTTATACATAACAAAAATAGTTTCTGTTGCCCCATCCCCATTTCCGTTTCTACAAAATATAGACATAACAATGTAGTGAAACAATATTTATCAACAGACTTGTCACACACATACAGCAAAATAGAAGCATAGTTCTCACCATCTATTGGTGATTAGAGAATAAAAAAGCTGAGTTAGCACCTCGTTTTCAACTAATGGAAGTCTGCTTTATTCTCTATTGAACAGATTATGCAGGGAACAAGGAAGACTTCGAGAAAACGAAGAAGTCTAATTTATGTGATGTCCTAAAGGGCACTCACCAGCGTGTTAATGTGTGCAAAAGACGGGTTTTCAATGTGCAGCCGGTCAACCGCAATCTGGTTGAGAGCAGCGTTGTCGAGGACGACAACAGAGTCTGCATTTTCCGTGAGCCTGTGCAGGGTGAGCAGGGAGTTGTAGGGCTGGACCACCACGTCGCTCATCTCGTCCTGATTCGGGAACACCGAGTATGTCTGGATCAACTTCTTTGGGAACCTGGAACACATCCCGGTGGTTGGGCGTAAGTGTGCTAGGCTGGGCCACTTGGTAATTGCTCACAGCTCCCGCGTCTCTTAGGCAGTCACTACACATTTTCTTGTATATACTGGCTTATAATCAGAAATAAAGCTGCAGTTTTTAATCAGCGCTTGCATGTGTTTTTTTTTTATACGGCATTTTGTCCTTTCTTGAGCTGTTTTGCCATAAATGAATTAAATGCACCTCCCAGCAACATTGCAAATACATTTCATAAATACGTAATTGGTAAGCGTAATTGGTAATCTTTGCATGACAATGCTTTCATGTAACAATTAAGCATTAAACTTTTCTATGTTTCCTGATGTTTTTAACATCCATTTGTTCATGTTGTTAATGATGAGCAAAAATAGAATATCTTTGTTGTAATTAAGAAATTAAGCAATGCTCATGAATACTGAAAAGGTGACAACAACACACCTGTCGTTTAGGTGTTCAAGAATGTACGAGCCCATCCCAGAGCCCGTGCCACCAGCGATTGAGTGGCAAAGCACAAAGCCTTCTAGGGAGTCACTGCCGTCGGCTTCCCTGTCTATGATGTCAAAAACGTCCTCATGAAGACGTTCACCCTTGGTTGAGAAGAAAAAGAAAGGACACCATCATTCAAAAGATCAATCAGAAAGGAAGTGCATTGACTTGGAGTGAAAATTCACTCGAAAAAGATGTTTAAAGTAGTGCACGATGGTGGGTGATGGCACTCTGGCAGCACTGGTAGGAAGGGAGGAAATCAAACCCTGCTCATTCTAACTCATCACTGCCTCGAGAAATCTAATCTGGTTACCATTGACAATAACAAGGCCACTATCTTCTAGTATGCTGACAGTGTCGGTGAGGCTGATTGCGTGAGGTGCAACTTAACGCGCTTGATGGCGATTTGTGCTGAACCCAATTCACAGACACACAAATAAAAATGAAGTTATTCCATATAGTTTTCCAGAAGCCGTAGTGGTGGGCCATAGGGCACCAAAAGCACTTCGCTTGCTTTTTCACGAACTGAGACGGGTGCAACAGGGCTATTCTGAAGCCACAATGCAACCATGTGTTCAGAGGATGTCTCTCACACAACTAGCAGAACCAACAGCAGTCACGTGGTATTGCAAATGCATCATGAGCATTACAATGTACAAAGTACATTGATTAGCTTGCCCTATAAATAACGTCAACCAATGAACAGGTAGTATAAAAATCTGCATTGAGGCTCCCTAGACTGACGTTACAGAAGTCAATCAATATTGATCATAATAAAACAGCTGTGACAAACAGCAAGGGTTCACAATCTAAAAGTTAGTTGAGCGATAGTTATAGCGTGAGAACACAACGACACAGAGACAAGAAGGACACGAGCGCTACCCTCTGTGTTGTCGAGGGCACCCTCTGTGTTGTCGTTCTGTTCTCGCACTATAACTATCGTCACGTGATACCAACTAGCCCAAACTGTCACACTTCTTAGTTGAGCGGATGCATACAGGGGAAAGAGACAACGCAAGCTGTTAATTTCCACTGTCTCGTGTGAGTGTCCGCACACTTAGCGTTGAATTTATAGTGGTCGAAGGGCTCAAGCTACATATATCAATTTTGTAGGATGCATTGGACAGACCAAACGGCACTTCTATCATTCATCTCTGCTAACAGCCGCCAATCAGGGCTGACAAAGCACGAATAAACGACGTCGAAAGAGTCAACGCTACACGAAACCGCGGCAGAATTTTTTACAAGCATATGAACGTAAGTACCTGCGAGTAACCGACGGCCCAGTTGTTTCCAGCACCGCCTCCAGATTGCGAGAGGTAGACGTTTTCCTGGTTGTACAGTTTCGCGTACGGAGAGTTCATGATCGTGTTGATCACTCGAGGTTCCAAGTCTAGGAGTACCGCTCGAGGGATGTAGTGTTGATCGTCGGCCTGCGATAATCATTCATTCATTTAGAAAACGACGAAACAGGACAGTTCGGACGATCGAAGATGCTGCACGACTAAGATAGATGTACCTGGTAAAAGAAGACGTCCTTCCTGTCGATGCCGTCAGTTGCGAAGCTTTCCAGGACACCCTCTAAACGCGGTAAGACGGTGTTAGATTCTTACACAAGATAACAAAAAAAAACGGGGGAATAAAAATAAACGGTACCTGGGCTGATGCCGTGCTCGGCGCATAGCTTCTTCCAAAATTCGAAGCCAACTGAAATATAAAGGGTAACGTTTGATTGAAATCACTTCCACTGCGTTAAGGAATTGGTATGCATGCATGTTTTGAGATAGCGGAAATATGGCAACAGCCTAAAGATTGAGCTTTCATAAAGCCGGAATTTGCTTCAATAATTTGGGAGTGTTTGGAGCACGCGTTGTTTTCGCCAGAAACGGTCAAGCGTCGGACTCAATGCAGCGGACGCTACCGACTCACTTTGGTTGCCGCATTGGCCCAGCTGAAGCGTAATCATCTCCCGTGGCATCGTGTCCCTGGCTGTGGTCACCGACGCGCGGCAATATCGGCGAAATAATCCAGTGTACCGAACGCAAGCAACACAGTTCGTTCTAATGATCGGTTCGGGTGCGCGCGCGTGTGAGATCTCGACCTCTTCTTTCTCTATGTCCTAGGCACGTACCTAGAGTTTTCTAGGGAGATTTCACAACTGTGATGGTAGCGCCATCACTTATTCGACGGTGCAAACGTTCTGTGATTGCATTGCACAGCGCACGTGTGCGCGTGGTGTGGTTGGTTGTGTGTGTCGTTCAACATGACTGAGGAACTTGATGTGTCCGACAAAAGCGACAGTGAAGATGAGGTAATTAGTCTTCCAAATCTGCCATTGTGCCTCAAGAACGTGTCGGTGATGGGCAGGTTTTTTCAATCTTCGGAACTGAAGATGCCGCTGCTACGTGGTGTTTTCTCGCTGTCGATTTCGCAAAGAAGTGCCGTCCGTGACAGTTTCATCATATACATGTGATTCATAATGAATGCTGTCTTTTCTTGTGTACTGAAGCCGGCGCTACGATGTCTTATCCGTTGGTTGATACCAGAACCTTGTTCCAGAAAGTTTAGTGGTGCATTTTTTTAGGCAACTTCGTTCACAGTTAGTGTAGAAACTTGAAGCGCAGTGGCATGAGGTGTTCTCAAACGTGCGCCCGCAATTTCACGTTGTGTAGACATTTAGATCGACGGATGCACCCTATGCGTTTGCGCACCTGTCCTGATTGAACTTGCGATTCATATGTCTTGTTGGAGGGCCGGATTTTGAGGCTGAATATTCATACTTTCGAGCTTTCGAGGGATTGAAGTTTCACGGGCGTGCTGCGCATAGCACCAGGCAGACATTTTATTTGCAGTGAGTGCAGAGTGCATTACTGTTTCCTTGACTTGTGATCGGCCTTGTTTCTCGGAAAGTGACATATGTTGCCAGGTTACCAACAGGGGATGCATTGCCTCTGATTTTCAACACCAGTCGTGTGCGCCAGACTGGGTTGCGAATTACATATTAAGGTACCAGTAGTGTGTAGCACAGCCACATGTTATTATTTTATAACCAGTGCATGCTGAATTGTACGCAGACTATTGTGTACACCCTGACATTCCTCGCTGTGTGGGGACTAGTGGAAATTGGATTTTTTTTTCTGCATTTGAATTGATTTAGTTTTCATCTTTACTATTATCCTATGAAGCCATCCTATCCCAAGAAAAAGAAGTGCTTTTGCTGCAGAGCTTGCTAAAATGTATTGAAGTGTGCTTATGTTAAAACCCGTTCTGTCCCTATTTTGTAGTGTGCCTTCTCGTCGGACTTTCATTTTGTGGACACTGCAGCCGAATATTTTCACGACACATGGAGTGATCTGACAAAGCTTGTCAAGAAGAAAAAGACAGTGAAGATAGATGAGAAAATATCAAGGGCGATAGAGAAACGCAAGGTATGAGCATTTTTGTAATTACAATAGTTTATCTGGTAATCTCAAGGGGGACAAAGGTACTTTTCTGTTGGTATAAGAGATATTCAGTGATGTTACGAGAGGCCCCACGGTCTCTGGGTAGCGTAACGTAAGGGCCAACGGACTGGGCAGGGAGTATCCAGGCTGTGGCCAGGCAAAAGGCAGCCAGAATGAATGAATGAATAGACATTATTTAATGTCTGGCAGTTTTACCGGGCAAGGTGGGGGAAGAGGGGAATAACCCCTGACCCTTCCCACTCTCTGTTGATTATGATGGTGGTGCCTCAGATGACCGCTCGAAGTCCTTGCACCCGGGCGGCATCTTCAGCTTGCCGGACGGCCCAAAGCTGGTCGGCCAGCTCGTTGCTTGTGAGTGCTGCCTCCCAGTGGCAGTGCAGCTGATGTTGCCGATCGGCAGAGGGAAAAAACAGTTAATTTACAATGAATGTACAAAATGTGTACGAGAAAGCAGCCGATGCCACATGCACCGGCCTTTTATAAGCGCCAAGGTGCTCAAGGATGAAGGTGCAGCCCCGCTGTTTAAATGCGCACAGCGTCTCTGACGGACGCCTCCAGTGGCCGTGAAGTACGTGTCAAGTGTCCCTTTGAAAGATGCCAGCCAAAAAGAGAGAGCACTGTCAAAGTGGTAGCGCGTTCTGCATGTTACTGCCGGTGTATTCGTAACAGTGAGCTCGGTTCACCAGAGGGCGCCAGTAAGAGCCTTCATCTAGAGTTACTGTATATGCTACCTTTAGGTAGCATAGTTGTGCATAGGTTTATCATCTTGCCGGCTGAGGCACCCCATCATGCAGGAAAGCGACTCCTGCCGAAAGAAGGCGCCAATGCGGCCCAGCGGATCAGTGTTGTTTCTTGCTCGTTCATAACCCGTCGCTGGTGCAATGACTTTCGGTTTAAAGAAAAAAAAAGGAAAACTTGGAGAAATAATGCCTTTAGATAGTACTGGTGGTGTAGCCTATTTGATGGCAGTCACCGTAGGAAGTAATATTTTTGTTTTAAAAAAGCAAGCAGGAAAGCCTTGACTTCATTTGTAGAGAATTGTGTACACGATTCCCGACAAATTAAGCTTCGCAAATCACTTTTTTTACGTAAATTTTGGTGTAGCGCATTGAGCGATTAAGTAGGTAGTTTGATAAAATAATAGCTATAACTGTGTTTTATAAATAATGTAAGTAAACAAGAATTTTCGGCATATCTATGTAGCTGTGGCATAAAGTACACACTCTGTGAGGCTTCAAATGTAATGCTGCATGGTGGCCTTTGTAGATCTGTTTTAGAATTTGGAAATATATTTCTATTCAATTCGATACCCATCATTGTAGCTGTGCATCTAAGATGTTTCACTGCTAAGCTTGAGGATGCTAGACCCACTCCAGGCCATGGCATCTCTGTACTTATAGATTTATACCTTTGTCACACAGGCACTGTCTATTGGGATAAGAGATGACCCCAATCGGGCTTGATCCGGATCAGATGTTACTGCACGGTAACTTTTAGTCGTGATCATGCCCGATCAAGATGATCCAGATCACAACCTGATGGACGTCTGTGCCAAACTTGATCCAAATCGGTACCGTGTAGCAGCAATGATTGTTGATTGTGATAAAGAACTCTGATCCTGATCAGTCCTAATAGCGATCAAAAGGGCCCATGTAACACAGGTACTGATGCATCTCAAGAAACCACAGTTACTAAAATTTTATGTCGAGTGCAGTCATACATATTATGGTTCTGGTGTGTGAAGCACCGATGTACATTAATATACAGCGAGCAGGATCTGTTCAGATGACAAATAAACAAGGCAGATACAAAGAAAACTAGAACATCTCACCAAGCCATCACACACTTAGTATAGATATTTTAAAACCTATGAAGGGATGTAGAAGACACGTTTACACAAGAATCGCCTTGTGGCTGAGTATGAAATGCCTTACATGCACATTGTCATTTGTAGGGCCTTGAAGGTGTGGAATGGTTAAATATAGGCTGGCATCTATGTTTCACATCTGCATAACTTTTGTCTGTGTGCCTCAATAGCATACATAACATTGTAGTATCAAATCAAGTTTATCTTTTTATGTCATGCAGAAAGAAAAGACCTTAGAAAACAAAGCTGTGTGTGAAACAGCATTTCTAGTTGACAGCCCCATAAAAAAACATTAAAATAAAAAGTATGACTAGCATAATACAAAATATTTCTAACGAGGTGTCCGTCATCATGTTGGATGATAACATCAGTGTTTTCCTCTATATGGCAGCGTTAAAGTGTTGTTTTCTTTTACTAGAAAGCCCCACGGTGTAATAATAATCAGTGTATAAATTTGTAACAAATATAATGGTTAACTTTATATTACAGCATATTGTCCGTAACATGCCAGTATCTGTAATTTATTATTTTTGGAATTATGAATACGGTGACTTGGCCTACATGTTGGAGCTGTAAATGTGTAATTTCTTTCAGTGGTGTTTTTGCTAAGTTGTGTCAATTTGTCTTAAAGGACTTTTTGAAGGCTTAGTTGATGCAAATTGACAAGAATTGCTTAGCGCAAGAAAAAGACAGCACACGAGACACACAATGGACAAGTGCTATCTGTGTCTTTCTCATGGGCTGCGGCTTTTTCTTGATCTAGGTAATCTTCGTCACTGTAAAGTTGCATCATGTGGCAAAAATAAAAGATGTGAGACTGCAGAGGAATAATACCAATTCATATATTGCATTAATGTATAGTTCGAAACATAGGTAGGCAAAACTTGTGGAGCTCATTTAGACTTACTCATGAAATATATTTCGCGCTGAGTACTCATTGTGGGATGTGGTGATTATACGTGTTTGTCGCTGCCTGTGGGCGGCCCCAGTGGCACTGCTGTCGGGACACAGTAGCTAATTAGGAGCCAGTGATTTGACCTAAGTGTGAGGGAGAAGGTTCTTCATCGTCCCGGACCTGGCGTTGCTTGGTGTAGCTAATATTGTGCCTGCTGCCTGGAGTCTAGGTCTAGTCTGCGAAGGTCAGTTGTCAGAGGTCGGGACCAAGTGTGAAAGGTAGATGGTCCGAGAGTAGGAGGTTTAAGAGGTCTAGTAGGTAGGGTAAGGGGTGGAAGGACCACGGTCGAAGAGGTAGGAGGCTTAAGGAGGTCTATGGAAGGTCAGGTGTGAAATGTCCATAGTCAGATAGGTATAGGAGGCTCAGTACTCACTTGGAATCAGACTCGGCAAAATATTTCTTAGCTGGACTCACTCGTAATCACACTCACGAAAATTCTCTTCAGCCGGACTAACTCGGACTCAAACTCACCAAAATATTACTTACCCGAACTCACTCAGACTCAAGGCTTGGTCGGAGTCGACTCATGAGGGAGTTCGCCGACCTATGGTTTGTAGTAAAGATGGTTGTCCCACTGATTATAAACTTTTTTTGGGGGAAAATGTGTCATGGCATGCCCTTTCCTTGAAAAAGCATCTGCTTAAGCATGTCGGTAATTCATATAACTCATGTACGTGTTGCTTGTCATCCTTGTTTTTTGTGTGCTATAAAGTGAAGCCCCTTTCTTCCTCTTTACGTTGGAGATGTGTCTGTTTAGGTAGTGTCCTGTTTCATGCCCTCAATTGTTTGCAATGTTTGCATTTCCAGTCA